ATTTGTGTTCTTTTTTCTGTTAATATAACATCGAGTTAATTGTCAGTTTGTTACATAAAAAAATATTCAGTATGACATCAACCTGTTATAAGACTCCAGCTGTTGTTTATACGACCAGACCGTCGGTAGATGGTGACATATGGCGGTGCAGTTTATTGTTAAAATGTTTCTGTTTCTACTGTTTTAATACTTTATTTATGTTAGAAGGTTCAGTAGTGCGCAGTGGTGTGTTAGTTAGTGTTGCCCACGTGGTGAACGTACAAATGGTACGATACACACTTCGCGCGGTTCGATTGGACAATCATGGTCACGCCAATACGTCACGTTCATCCGGAACTATTATTTCATCATAACAATCGCGAGTTCAGTGATGCTGACGTCATAACCTCTCAACCTGAAACCTCTGCTCTTGTACCCATTTTGTATTCTCTAAACACATCTCGTGTCCACTAAACATCTTCTCAGTATAAGCTGAAGGGCTGTACAACTGAACAGGCGATGTCATGACCACTAATGTACTGCTATGACCACTGACTGTACTGCTATGACCACTGACTGTATTGCTATGACCACTGACTGTACTGCTATGACCACTGACTGTATTGCTATGACCACTGACTGTACTGCTATGACCACTGACTGTACTGCTATGACCACTGACTGTACTGCTATGACCACTGACTCAACTGGTATGACCACTGACTGTACTGCTATGACCACTGACTGTACTGCTATGACCACTGACTCAACTGCTATGACCACTGACTGTACTGCTATGACCACTGACTGTACTGCTATGACCACTGACTCAACTGGTATGACCACTGACTCAACTGGTATGACCACTGACTGTACTGCTATGACCACTGACTCAACTGGTATGACCACTGACTGTACTGCTATGACCACTGACTGTACTGCTATGACCACTGACTCAACTGCTATGACCACTGACTGTACTGCTATGACCACTGACTGTACTGCTATGACCACTGACTCAACTGGTATGACCACTGACTGTACTGCTATGACCACTGACTGTACTGCTATGACCACTGACTGTACTGCTATGACCACTGCCTGTACTGCTATCACCACCGACTGTACTGCTATGACCACTGGCTGTACTGCTATGACCACCGACTGTACTGCTATGACCACCGACTGTACTGCTATGACCACTGACTTTACTGCTATGACCACTGACTGTACTGCTATGACCACTGACTGTACTGCTATGACCACCGAATGTACTGCTATGACCACTGACTTTACTGCTATGACCACTGACTGTACTGCTATGACCACTGACTGTACTGCTATGACCACTGACTTTACTGCTATGACCACCGACTGTACTGCTATGACCACTGACTGTACTGCTATGACCTCTGACTTTACTGCTATGACCATTGACGGTATTGCTATGACCATTGACTGTACTGCTATGACCTCTGACTGTACTGCTATGACCTCTGACTTTACTGCCATGAACATTGACTGATGTTCGTTGGCATCACAGATTTGTGGGAAAACGTATTGTGTCAACATGGAGTAGGGTGAGTAAGTATGGTTTTACCCTGCTTTTAGCAATATTCCAGCAATATCACGGAGACGGACATCAGAAATGAGCTTCACACTATGTGCCAATGTGGGGAATTGAACCCGGGCCTTCAGCGTGACGAGCGAACGTCTTAACCACTAGGCCACCCCACCGCCCCTTCAACGTGACAACAACGACACGTCATTAGCCAAGCCATTGAGCCTGACCACCTCTCTCATTACGTCGCATGCTGCAGTCAACGTACGTCGACCTGCATTAACACGTATTCTCCACGGGTCGACATAAAAAAAGAATGAATATAAATGTTCCTTACAATAATAGCTTCATGGTGTGAAATCGATATTCTTCGGGATACTAATGAGTATGAAATCGATGCATTTCTCTTACATCTGAAATAGATCTGACACCAATACTTCCATCATTGAGTTAGTTTAGTTTTACGCCGCTTTTAGCAATGTTCCATATCCATATCATTACTTCAACGTATGTAAAATGGAACACTCGCATAACAGTCAGTTGGTGTAAGGGTCTCTTTACGAGGAGGCGCTTTCAGATTTACCTTAAGGTTAACTCACAACGGGGGCAATCAGTGGTAAAGCCTTCGCTCGCCACGCCTTTGGTCCGGGTTCGATTCCCCACACGGCCACAATTTGTAAAGCTCATTTCTAGTGTGCTCTAATTTTGGCGTTAAACCTAACTCACTCCAATCATAACATGACTTTCTGACGAATTAGAATAGTACAAAAATGGCATCCACCAACCTTCTGCTAAGTTCTCGATCGATCCAAAATAGTTTCTTGATTTTCTCAATAAGAAGAAAACCGAACGAGGTGGATCCTTGTTTTGATTAATAAAGAAATTAGTTTGAACCTTTTGAACAGGCACAACTGTCGCGGGGTGTTATAAGAGCTGTTGGGGTGGGGTGGGGGTGGGTGGGTGGGGGCATAGTTCCTTGTGGTATCCATGGCAATCAATCAATACCAGACTTTAATGTTGTTCCCGCTCACACACAACGACACGTTCAATCACCATGACATCTGCCCGTTTCTTTATCTGTCTGACAGAGTCGAAAATGATGATCAATACAGACTTAGGGCACTGACATTACGGCAACGGTCTCCACCTAACTAGACAGTTCTACGATTTACACTACATAGCCCATTCGATGTTAGATCTCTCGCCCTGTCGATACAGCGTGTTAGGTTTAACGGTCCCCTGTATGTCAGTTAGTTCACATTGGTAGCTTAATGTGGATTTAGATATATAACTACTGCTATGACCACTGACTGTACTGTCACGACCAGTGAATCTACTACTTTCTTATATGAGGGGCGGTGGGGTAGCCTAGTGGTTAAAGCGTTCGCTCGAAGGGTGGTGTTCGATTCCAACAAGGGTACAATGTGTAAAGTCCATTTCTGGTGTTCCCCGCCGTGATGTTGCTGGTATATTGCTAAAAGCGGCGTAAAACCTTACTCACTCACTCACTCATTCTTATTTGAAGTAAAGCAATTGTTGAAAGAAACGAGCAGGATTAAGATACTGACAACCAATACACATAACGGGATTCGAACAGTCGATCACAGGTTTCTGCCACGCCTAAGGGACACACCTACGCACAGACAACTATGATATTTGTACCACTGGGCCTAACGTATCACCTAACAAAACGAACAAAACAAAGCCTTATAAAGGAACTTAAGTATTTAAACTTTCGCACTTTTTTTCGTATCAAATAAGCTACAAACACAAGCGTAAACCCGTCTTGTGAATTTCCAAATACAAAATTTAAAACCTTCTGAAAACCTTTGTAAGATCCTAATCTTAATAACGCTGACGAGCAGCTCAGAAACACGTCTATTTCGTTTCGCACGCATGCTCTGAGCTCATCTGTATTTTCGATTGTGCATATCACATCCCACCGGATGCTTTCTGATATTCACCAATTAGCCCGCTCAACTTTATTACCTGCCCTGGTTAAAAATAACTATTTTCTCTTGACGAAGAACACTGCCCCGACCCTATCGCCCTAGATACGACAATGTTCTATTCCGAAGCCAAAGGCTACACTATGAACTCATCAATTGTCAATCGTTTTCTCAAAATGCTTTATCATGATGAGTTGCATACATATTTATAACAATCTGTATTGGTTTATCTATCAATCTCTTTAAAGCTGAGCATGGAGATGAAATGCTATAAAGATGCAACAACAATGGCATAATTATGTTGCAGTGATGCTGCGGCAGTGCTATAATGATGCTACAACGACGCTTTGATGATGCTACAACGATGCTATAATGATGCTACACTGATTCTATAACCAATGCTACAGTGATGCTACAACAACGCTATAATGATGCTACAACAATGCTATAATGATGCTACAACAATGCCATAATGACGCTACAACAATGCCATGATGATGTTACAACAATGTTATAATGATGCTACAACGACGCTTTGATGATGCTACAACAATGCTATAATGATGCTACACTGATGCTATAACCAATGCTACAGTGATGCTACAACAATGCTATAATGATGCTACACTGATGCTATAACCAATGCTACAGTGATGCTACAACAATGCTATAATGATGCTACACTGATGCTATAACTATTGGTACAGTGATGCTACAACAATGCTATAATGATGCTACACTGATGCTATAACTATTGCTACAGTGATGTTACAACAATGTTATAATGATGCTACAACGATGCTATAATGATGCTACACTGATGCTATAACCAATGCTACAGTGATGCTACAACAATGCTATAATGACGCTACAACAATGCTATAATGATGCTACAACAATGCTATAATGACGCTACAACAATGCTATAATGACGCTACAACAATGCTATAATGATGCTACAACAATGCTATAATGACGCTACAACAATGTCATGATGATGTTACAACAATGTTATAATGATGCTACAACAATGCTATAATGATGCTACAACAATGCCATAATGATGTTACACTGATGCTATAACCAATGCTACAGTGATGCTACAACGATGCTATAATGATGCTACAACAATGCTATAATGATGCTACAACAACGGTACAGCAATACTACAAGGAAGTGAACATTCAAAAACATATGCACACACTGCGTAGGAACCGAGTCAATATATCTCCATGAGAGAAACACATGTCGCAATACTGTCTGCAATATCACGAGAGAGAGTTAGTGAGTATGGTTTAACGCCACTTTTAGCAATATTCCAGCAACATCACGGCGAAGAACACCAGAAAAGGGCTTCACACATTGTACCCATGTGGGGAATCGAACCCGGGCCTTCAGCATGGCGAGCGAAAGCTTTAACCACTAGGCTACCCTACCGTCCCACAATATCACTAGAGGTGTCAACGAGTAATACATGTTCTTGTTCTTTGACTACAGAAGTTATTACTCACCTGGATCTGCCTGGTACTTCATGGCATCGGTGTCCACATCCACACCGAATAGCCTACCGCCAGTGGTCAAGAACTGAAGACCTCTGTACACCAGTTCCAACTCAACGTTCTCAACGTAGAAGTGGAAGACCATGATCTTCTCACCCGATTGATCTCTGTAAATATAAGGATGATAACATAACCTGGTACTTTTCAGATTAAACAATTGTTGGGTGTGTGTTAACTGAATGTAAACCGACAATGTTATAATTACATCATTACAAGCATGTTGTGAGCTGCACAAATGCTGTTTATAATTATATTTTAGGACATTATTATAATCATTGCAGAAAAAGATCATTAAAATCTTTACACGTCCTCTGAGGATGTCAGCTAAAAACATGTGGTGGCGATGTAAGTGTTGCAAAGTTTCAAAATGTAGTTTCCTCAGCAGGTTGCACAACAAAGAGGTAGCTAAGTGCGTTATGTTCGTTTGGGTGTTTTTAGCAAAGGAAGTGAATTATGTGTTTAGGAAAAGCACGCAATCTAGGTTTACATCCGGTAGTTCTCTTACATTAGTAGCTTCCCTACAACTATGGAGCCACGTCATGCTTCGAGCATAGTGAAGTCATTTCACAGCATATTTTCTGATCACATTACTATAGATATGTGTTTTCTGGCCCCGATTTCTCGAAACAAACTTAAGTCTGAGTTTTGACTTAAGTTAGAGTGTTTACTAAAATTTGAGAAAATGCATTTCCTAGAATAAACTGAAATTGATATTAAACTCAAACATAGTAGACAATTTGAGTTTGGTGGATAGATTACTTAAGTTGTTTGGGCTTTATTTATTTTAAAAATGCAGTTGAGTTAAAAATTCAGCTGTTTCAAACTGTCAAACTCAGTTCGAAATTTGAGTAAAAACTTAAGTTTGTTTCGAGAAATCGGGGCCTGGTCACGAAAATAACACTGAGATTAAGTGTGTGAGACCTTGTATGTCATGTCTCGCAATGATCCTCGTGTACTCGTGTGCAGCTACAACGATGCGGTGGTGATGTTACAATTATTCTACAGTGTTGCAATAATGATGTTACAACAATGCCATAGTGATGCTAAAACAGTGTTCTAATGATGCTACAACGATGCTACAATGATGTTACAACGATGCTATGATGATGCTACGTCGATGCCACAATGATGCTATGATGATGCTACGTCGATGCTACAGTGATGCTACGTCGATGCGTCAATGATGTTACAACGATGCTATGATGATGCTACGTCGATGCTACAATTATGTTACAACGATGCTATGATGATGCTACGTCGATGCTACAATGATGTTATAACGATGCTATGATGATGCTACGTCGATGCTACAATGATGTTACAACGATGCTATGATGATGCTACGTCGATGCTACAATGATGTTACAACGATGCTATGATGATGCTACGTCGATGCTACAATGATGTTACAACGATGCTATGATGATGCTACGTCGATGCTACAATGATGTTACAACGATGCTATGATGATGCTACGTCGATGCTACAATGATGTTACAACGATACTACAATGATGCTACGTCGATGCTACAATAATGTTACAACGATGCTATGATGATGCTACGTCGATGCTACAATGATGTTACAACGATACTACAATGATGCTACGTCGATGCTACAATGATGTTATAACGATGCTATGATGATGCTACGTCGATGCTACAATGATGTTACAACGATACTACAATGATGCTACGTCGATGCTACAATAATGTTACAACGATGCTATGATGATGCTACAAGAATGCTGTAATGATGCTACAATAGTGCTAATAAGCAGTTGTCACTAAGGTGACATAATCCCCTCCGTAAATTATCAAATTAAACTTAAAAAAGTAATGAACGTGAAGGTCGTAGTTTAAGATGAAGTTAAATGTCAACAACAACAACAAGATGACCAGTCAACCTTTTTTGATATCTTGCTCTGTAGCTGTTCAAACACACATATTTTCAAGACTCACTTTGACCTTGACATGAATGTCATAGTGTATGAAATATGAAAAAAAATAGTAATAAAGAAATTACTTATCAAAAGAACATCCAAGAGAAGTCTTGAAAGTCTATGAAGAAAATCCAGTGAACCGTTCTTGAGATATCTAAGACTTGACAATCTTAACATGCTGAAATCTTCAAAGTGTCACCGTGACCTTGAAAATTATGTGAAGGTCACCAAAATCGAGAGAGCCCTGCGCCTATATGAAGCTTGGTGTCAAATATGAAGAGAATCCAGGGAACGGTTTTTGAGATATCTCGCTGACAACAGTAAAACGTTAAAGTTCCTTGAAATGAAGGTCAAGGTCATCAAACCTGACGGGGACCTTTCGCATACTGGTACCAAGTATGAAAAGAATCTAGTCAACCGTCCTTAAGATATTCCAATTCGTGCGTACGTACGGACGGAGCCTAATACAAAATCCCCTAATACTATATAATGATGTTACAACGATGCTTCAATGATGCTACAATGGTGCTACAACGATGCTACATCGATGCTACAATGGTGCTACAACGATGCTACAATGGTGCTACAACGATGCTACAATGATGCTACAACGACGCTATAAGGATGCTACAACAAAGCTATAAGGATGCTACAACAACGCTATAAGGATGTTACAACGATGCTGTAATGATGTTACAACGATGCAACAACGACGCTATAAGGATGTTACAAAGATGTTACCTCGATGTTACAATGAGGCTACAAGAATGCTCTAATGATGCTACAGCGATACTACAACAATGCTATAATGATGCGATGTACCACTTGATACTGCTATCAATGATTTATAATCTCGAAAGACCCATTAAATTATTGTTTTGCTAGCTATAAGACCAACAATGGTAACGTCTAATCTCTTTATGGGATTTTCAATCGATTTAAAATATATATAAAAACAGTGGTGAAAAACAACCTACCTGACGCCATCAAATCCAAATTCTGTAACAGATTTTATTCCCGAGAGGTCCAGGGTATAGAGTACCTGTCGTATGAAAAGACTATTATTTCAGCAAGTATATGCAACAGATACATAATTAGAACGTATTGTTCTTTATAAATTTCCCTTCTGACATTAACGAGACAGAGAGTATATCAGCTTAATGTAGTTTTTTTGTGCCGAAGGTCGTAGACCTCTGCTTCTCTGATAGATCCTAGAAAATTGGATATGGTACTGACAGACCACTTAGCATAATCGGGTCGAATACGGAATTCGAGCCCACGATCATCAGATCCTGCTACAAGTAAGGGGCGCAATTCTGCACAGAGAACTGTTTTGTTCAGTGTTATCCTTAATATATACTGAACCACAAAAGAAACGTCGCTTTTCAAAACCAAATGCAAGATTTTGTTCTTACAAAATGGTGTTTTTATTATGATTGTATCGTTTTGTTAACATGTTTTTCAATCCAAATTGACAGTTATTACCAACATCAGTGTGTTTTCTGATGAAAAAGCATTTCGACCAAACGCACCTAAAAAGACAGACGTGGTAAAAGGTTCCGTATTATATTCGTGAAATTGAAAATGCACTTGCATATCGTGACAGCCCTACCAATGAAAGCGAGTCCCAAACTCGCCTGAAATCATTCCACGAATTACGAGAGATCAGAGGAACCACGTTTTGGGACGATTACAAGTTGGCCAGACTGCCAATCATTTTAATGTTCATGTTAGGACAATCTACCGACTGCAGGAACGGTATCAGGTCACTAACAGCATCCAAGACCGTCCGGCGACCTTCAGTAACATCACAATGTCAAGACCGACAGATTGTGCGCCACCATCTGCAGGGTCGCTTCCCCAGAGCGACGGAAAGAGCACGCCAGACCATTGGGACTCACCACAGACCCATCAGTGCCGATACAGTTTGTCGGCGTTTGCGCGGAAGAAACCTCTGCTGTCACAGACCATATCGTAGTCCTGTCCCCACCGCTCATCACCGCCCAAACCGACTGCAATGGGCAACTCAGCATCGGAATTGGCGTTATCGACAATGGAGAACTGTGTTTTTTCTCATGAAGATATTGTGTTTCGACAGTCGATGGCAGAGTGAGAGTATGGTGAAGGCGTGGGGAACTGTTTTCCAGTGAGTGTATTGTTGAAAGAGACTCGTGGGGTTGTCCAAGCATCATGGTATAGGGTGCAATCGGTCTGAACCAGATAGCTGGCACCGTGGTGTTTCAGAATCTCGGTCCAGGATGAGGAAATGACGTGACAGTTGCTCGCTATATTGACCAAGTCATAAAACCCCACGTTGTACCACATTTTGGACGTTACAGAAATCACATCTTCCAACAAGACAATGCTCATGCCCACACTGCCAGAGTAACATTGGACTTCCTAAAACAACATGGCATCCAAATTCTACAATAGCCTGCACTCGATTTTGATTTGAGTCCAATAAAACACCTTTGAGACGAGATTCAAAGAAAAACTGAATGACCGCCACCCAAGGCCGATAACTGCTGCTGGATTCCATCAGCCATTTCACAGAGTATTGACCCAAAGTGCCTATGGCCTTCATCAACCAGCTAATTCATTCCATGTACAGACGATGCAACACTTTCATCGATGCTTATAGAGGCCACACACAATACTGACTCTGGGGTATCTTAACGGTACCATTTTAGGTGATTTTGATTGTATGAACTCTAAATGTGATCACCAAAAATGTGTTAACCATAATTGTCAAGTTTGAATTCAATCCTCCGATTTGATTGTTCATTAGAGTAAATTAAAGTGTGTGTTTTAAGAAACCGCTATCAGTGCGACATTTCTTTTGTGGCTCAGTACATATAAAGGTAAAATTCAGCATTGTACAGTAGTACATATAAAAGTATATGACTATATATATAATTATATATCTAGTTTTCGTCCGTTATAAAGTAAGTTGAATCCTGATATATATTCTACGAATGTCACGATTTTCCGGATTTTAACGGAAAATGATTAAGATCGACAGAATACTGTCCAAAACCATGCGAAATCTCAAGAGTACCTTTCCTTGCTTTCCAATGATGCCACAAATGTTTAGAAGCTGCCCTCCTACTTACACGAGCAGAATCCCTTGTGACCCCGATTCCGTTGAACGACACATTGGAAGCCCCTGGTGATCCTTACGTCCGTACTCTAACACAAACTAACGACTGCGCTACGATGGCTTTGTGGAACGGGGTTCTGGTCAGACTGAATAAGCAATAACTCCAATACCGTATCTACAGTAATAAATTGTTGAATACATGACACATACCCTTCCTCTCACTCTGGCCGTTACATCCTCATGTGGTGATGTAAATCCTGCAGGAATAACCACGTCCTTTCTGACTGGAACGCTGACAGTAATTCGATACATTTCTGGAAATTAAAGAAAACGAGGTATTTACAAAATATCCAACAAAGCATTCAGGAAATGAACGTAACGAGAAGGAGGTGTCCGTGACGAGCCTTTGATACACAGACATAACTAATTTTTATATCGGATAAAATGGCGTTTCATGATGGAGACAAAAATTCAAATGTTTCATAAAATAGAATTTGCCTTGGTTTTGACTTGGTAATGGCATTACCAGTCTTTGACATATTCTGCCTCTCTTGATCGTATTTCCAAATTGTCTTGAATCGATGTTTAGAATCACATAATTATACAATCTGTTTATTTTCTTTGATATCGAACTGGTAATTGAATGACAGTTTCATGCACAAACCATTTCAATAAGCCCCGTGAGGCCAACCATCACATCTTATTAAAATATCAATATCTCTTTGACAAAATGATTCTTGATTTGCGTAAGAAATCTATGTTATTCTGATCAGTCAAGTTTTGAGATCGACCGGGTTGTTAAACAGTTTCATCACGAAGATTTTGAAAGGACACACATAACTGGGCTGCAGGACGATGGTGAACAAGTTTAAGAGGTCCTGTAATCCATATGCTTTGAGCAGAGACGACGTTGTGCCACAGACGATCAATGAAACAGAACTTAACGAGGTTCCCATAAGAAGTAGTTTTGTGAAATCAAAGAGTGAAACCTTTAGGACCTTTGTTGAAGAACATGATAAATTTATGTGTATTCCCTTTAAAATCATAATTTACAATAACCAACAAAAGTCTGTCATGAAAAGGTATTACTAGCGGCCCACCTACACTCGAACGTACTTCACGCCAACCCCATTATTACAACCCTCATATCTGGTTACACCATCGTGATTTGTTTTGGACGGTTCGTTTGAAGGTTACATGTCAAACACTGAATTGATTTGAGTGTGTGATGTCAGTGTAGCATCAAACAGAACCCGTTCATCCCTAATGCACCCATATCTAACATGGAAGACGTAACCCGTTCAGTGGGGCAGCATATAATCCAAGCTTGCATCCCTACTGCATCCATATCTGCCCGTTCAGTGGGGCAGCATATAATCCAACATCCCTACTGCACCCATATCTAACAAGGAAGACGTAACCCGTTCAGTTGGGCAGCATATAATCCAAACTTGCATCCCTACTGCACCCATATCTAACAAGGAAGACGTAACCCGTTCAGTTGGGCAGCATATCCCTACTGCATCTAACAAAAGACGTAACCCGTTCAGTTGGGCAGCATCCCTTGCACCCTACTGCACCCATATCTAACAAGGAAGACGTAACCCGTTCAGTGGGGCAGCATATAATCCAAGCTTGCATCCCTACTGCACCCATATCTAAGAAGGAAGACGTAACCCGTTCAGTTGGGCAGCATATAATCCAAACTTGCATCCCTACTGCACCCATATCTAACATGGAAGACGTAACCCGTTCAGTGGGGCAGCATATAATCCAAGCTTGCATCCCTACTGCACCCATATCTAACAAGGAAGACGTAACCCGTTCAGTGGGGCTGCATATAATCCAAACTTGCATCCCTACTGCACCCATATCTAACAAGGAAGACGTAACCCGTTCAGTGGGGCAGCATATAATCCAAGCTTGCATCCCTACTGCATCCATATCTGACAAGGAAGCCATGCCATGATATGGATACAGAATGGCGAAACTCTGGACTTGTCCAGTAGATATTACTGCGAGAAAGTGTTCTTGCTTCACTAGGCGAACATATAATGCATTACGGTCTTGCTTTTGCAGTTCACTTCCACCAACTCTGCATTTGAATTCCTTTTAAACATCAGGGTTTCATCGTGAAAGGGTATCCTATATTGGTCTTTCCTAATGAAGTTATGATTGATTGACAAAAAGACCCAAGGGCACTGTCATGTTAATCCTTGCATGAAGCGCCCCAATTTAATGATAATGTGTACCATACATGCTATATGCAGAGGTTTAAATGCGTTACTAAACTTATAGAAGTGTGAGTCTTCTGGTTGATATCACAGACACAAATGAAATCAATAACCGCATCTCTCTCGTAGCTACGTTAATAACGGACCTCTATTTAAAACAAGGGATAAATCTTTTAAAATCAATTTTCAAGAAACAGATTGCACCACAAATCATTAATGGGGCCATTGAGATCCTAAGACTATCTGTTTCATTTAAAGCACACACACTATGGCATGAAAGACGTGCATTAGCTTTCTAGCATGGAGATATAGCGTCCAATTTTCTATCTACACCACAACCGAAGGCATAAGAATAAGAAATCGATGAGCCTCTCTGGGTTTCGCAGGGGAACGTACAGAACGCGGCATTTCGAACACATCATCTTGTCATTTCTGTTAACTACAATTCAGTTTGGTTCAGAGAAATGTGTTTTTATATAAAGAATTATGCATTTCTACAGCACTCCTTGTCTTCAAGTGGTTAGTTTTATCTGTTTTGTTTTTTACGCTTGTGACATTTCGACCGTACAACGTTGACATTTTACAATAGAAATGTTTATATACATGACATCTGGTAAGATATACCCAACGGTAACTAGTTTAAAACTCCACAATGAAAAAATGCCTTTGTGAAGAGTTTACATGATGAATGAGGAAGAAGCAGCCCCGAAACGTACTTCTCTTTCCCCAAGACACAAACTGGCAATGAATACGAGGCGTGTCATCACTATAAGGCTTTTGCTATTGTTTACATACAACATCACGATATGGCTCCGGGAATCCTTTTCGAAGTGACCCGTGAAGATCCGGGTTAGAATTGGTCTTCAGTAACCCATGCTTGTCGTAAGAGGCGACTAACGGGGTCGGGTGGTCAGGCTCGCTGACTTGGTTGACACATGTCATCGGTTCCCAACTGTGTAGATTGATGGTCACGTTGTTGAACACTGGGCTGTCTGGTCCAGACTCGACTATTTACAGACCGCCGCCATATAGCTGTAATATTGCTGAATGCGGCGTTAAACAACCAATCAACCAGCCTTTTCGACGTTTTTACCTTTCTCCATGCACGTTGCGTTATCAGTATCCAACTTAAATCCTTCCAAACAGGAACAATAAAAGCTTCCATCTTGAGACTGTTCACACAGTTGACTGCAACCGAGGTTCTCACAGTCTGAAACAAGACGTTATATATTTCATAAAACTGGACTCATCAGAACAAAATCGAGGTGCTCTGATAATGATCTGAGTAAAATTAGCATTTGAATATCTAGGATGAGTAAACAAAAGGTTTTCAATGGCTGTGGTAGAGAGTTTGCAAAAGCATGACGGTTACTTGGTAATTGCAATGAAAGGTCGGTGCTGAAATACACACGTTAGGCTCATACGGTTTTGTCAGAAAAGAAACATGATCTAGTGGAAATTAATATATAGACAGAAAATAGAGAAATGCCTTTGATGAACATATGACAACTGCAAACGTAGAAGATCGTTAACTGTTGAAGAATTAGTGCAGGATAGTGTTAGGTTGTTTCCCAAACCATGTGTAAATAACTTCCAAACTATCACGATAGATTGATCTACGTAGGTCTGTGGGGCTTATTTTATGGTAGCTCTGGCTACATTAGACATAGTGTTAGGTTGTTTCCCAAACCATGTGTAAATCACTTCCCATAATATCACGATAGATTGATCGCATGTAGGTCTGTGGGGGCTTACCTTATGGTAGCTATGACTACCTAAGACATAACCCAGGTTACAGATTTAAACCTTTATAACCCATCAGTTACCTGCCTGTTAAGGTATCTGGGTTAGGTAACTAGGCTTCAACACGACGGTATGCAATTGGTGAATTTGTCTTGCAATTTGCAGTTCCCGTCTCAAGTGGCGCATGGAGTATTAGGGGTCTCTTAGGGGTAAAGAACGAGATGTTTGGGAAATAATAAACTTATGGCTGCTTGTAAATGCCCACTGGATCAGTGTCCAGTTATTTTCTTTCTCAACTCCCTAGAACGTACACAACAAAAGCAACAATGAGACTCTAGAAGGTTAACGGTCATAACAATAATCCTACCGGGTACCCATTCACCGCTTGATGGACAGACACAAAGGTGTAAGGAGACAACACGTATGATAAGTGTAAGACACGGTAGAAGTCCCAGAAACTCTCAGAAGTCAAGATGCCAAACCCGGCCATCCACCACTACTCTCCTGAACAAAGTTGCTTTACTTCTCCTAATTTCTGACAAGTGAGCTGTATTCAGGTCCAACTGCGATCACGGCCTTAGGAAACCATGATACCCAACCATATTTTCAGAACTAAACAGTGTGTACAAACATCAACGCATGGAAATGTTTAGCTATTTTTGACACTTGACACTGAAGTACGCTCAGCATCTAATAGTACGAGTATATATACTGTAAACTCGCCACCTTGTAACGCTACAGGTATTATGTATCCTACAATAACACGGTTGCTATATTTTCCTCAAATATCGCATTTACAAACTAACGGTCAAAAGAAATCATATCAAGTTTGGTTTCCATGTACTTGAAAACTGAATTAACAGTTCATCATTCATCAGTACAAAAACATTTTAAAAAAGCAGTTTGTTGTTAGCTAAATTTGCGTAGAATGGTCCAGAACTTTGCTAAGAAACGAATTTGCCATCACGAGACCCCATCATGTTTGAGATATTGTAAAATTATCCCAAAAATGTATATATATTCAAAGATGTCTAACGGTTACTGTATTTGAATTATGCACAAAAAAATATCACGCTATGCAATTTTAAATTGAAATTATGTTTAAATATAATAATGTTCTTGCATTGGAGTGTTGACAAAACATCAGCACAGTTAATTTTTCAAAAATAACATTGCTAACTTCAGATATTTTTTCATATGAAAAAAAAAATCAAACATAAAATCAACTGAGATGCACAGGATTTTTGCCTCAGTTACACGCCGTAGTGGAACAGATTCCTAAAACACCACGCTGATTGTAACTGAGATCGAGCTGAGACAAGTGTCGTGGCCTACATCCGGCTGTGTGTGAACATTTGCTTTCCACCAGTGCTTTTTGTGTCGAGGTTTGTCTATCTTCAGGAAGCAATTATCATAACTGAAGGTCTAAAGTTTCAAATTGTTGTTCCAGAAGCGACTGAAACGGGGCATCGAGTGCCGTCATCTCCAGATAGTGGAGGTTACTACTAAGTCTATTACCGGTATGACTGGAACATAACTGTAGGTCTCAAGTTATTAATAGTCACCGTAGAAGCGACTGAGGCAGGGCATCATGTGCCGTCACATCCTCACAGTGGTCGCATTGCTAAGACCTAGTCTATAACGGTATGTCTAATGTTATTTATGGTTGTTGTAGAAGCGACTGAAACGGGGCATCGAGTACCGTCATATCCAGATAGTGGAGGTTATTGCTAAAATCTAGTCTATAACGGTATGTCTAATGCTATTAATGGTCGTTGTAGAAGAGACTGAAACGGGGCATCATGTGCTCTGATATCCCCATAGTATAGACCATTGCTAAGACCTAGTCTATAACGGTATGTCTAATGTTATTAATGATCGATGACTGAAACAGGGCATTGACCGCGTCATGTCCTGAGGTTTGAGATCATTGCTAAGTATATTACTGGTATGTCTGGCCCATAATTGTAAGTCTAAAGTTTCAAATGGTCGTCGCAGAAGCGATTAAACTGTGCCATAATTGTCCTGGTGGTGGAGTTTATTGTTAAATTCATGACTCAGATGATTTCTCTGAAGTTTCAAATGATCAATAATGGCATGGGGTACGTAAAAGGGGCTCCGAATGCCATCATTTCCTGACATAGGGGATCACTGGTTTGTCTGATCCAGATTGTTTCCACTGACAAACCCGATCAACCATCCTGTTAGTCCTGTAGATGCATTAACATTACGACCTTTTTTGCACTTGTGACACTATTTTACTTAACGGATATTGAATAAAATGGGAAGAAAATAGTCGGACTGCATGAACCTGAAATCTATAATTATCTCTATACCTCGATAGAACTAATTTAGAATGGATATATTACAAAGTCGAGTATTGTGAAAATTGATAAAGTGAAAATTTCCCCAAGTAGGATACATCCATTGCAGACAGTTCCATGACCACTAAAGCAGTCCAAGGTAAGTTGTGTGGAGAACTGTTGGCCGTATAGTGACAGACGCTGCAGAGTAGGACATGAGGACTAGTTTCGCGAACACCTGGTGTCATCACTGATCATCAGTGATCAATAAATAAAATTCTTATGACAAGATTACCTTTCACGCCAAAGGAGTCTGTTTGGGCAGATAATACAGACAGACCGTTGTCTGGGCGTTGTGAATTAACAGAGACACCTTTGCGATCGACCGACACGAACATGTGCCATTATCATTCATAAAAATCCATTAAGCAATAGCGCGTTGTTAGCGTTAAGAAGCGTTGATTAGCAGCAACAAGGACACATATAGACTGAGTGTTAATGCAGTGTGTGTTATGATGAAGCAGTAAAGCAAGAAAAGCGTTTAAAGTGAAAGAAGAAACACTGTGAACACATTTAGGAAGCGCTCGACAAACCCACTGACGCACGCGTTCATTGTTTTACACGTGATGTCTTCGCTCGTTATACCGCTAAGCCTCTGTAGCTCACCTGATAGGTTTATAGAAAGTTTGCAACATCCATGTATACAGAATCTAACAGAATTATATTATTAAAGGTTCTGATATTGGGAATCTTTACTAAAGGGTCTGATATTGGGGTGATAGTTCTTGAAATCCAACCGGACCTGAAATAAGGGGTCGGGTAACCTACAGCTAACGATATCTGTCGATAATAATTGTCATCATGTTTACGTAACTTAGCTTATTCTTGTTGTTGTTCCATGTTGCACTTAAGTAACGTTCAACAGGGTGGGGTGTGACGATGACCCCGATTGAGCACGCCACCTGATTATTTAATCGCCAATTACGAAAAGGACATTTGCAGGAACCCATGCCCCGAACAACCACAGGTACCGTTCTGGTCACATATTGGCCAGTGAACTGAAGTTTGGGAAGGTCCGGACGCTCTCTACAGGACCTACGGTAACTCATGATGGCTACGAAACATAAGATCAATGTGAAGGTTACACTAGACTTGGCGTGAAGGACTATGTACGAAATAGATATATCTACTTTGTGGAATAACGCCATATTATTCTCGGAAGATAAATGACCATTATCCGAGGTTCTTTGACAGAACAACAAATGCTGAAACTATGGATGTACACTGCAACAGTTCCATTTTATCTGGCATAATTTAAGAAGGAAGATATGGTGCCACATTGATCATCTTGGAAACTGGAATCTCTTGAACATGCAAACGTGTCACCTTAATGAACCAGTAGTTTCAGAGGGATGAAGAAATGGATCATGACACAAGCTTATTTGTGAACCAAATAACTAATTTGTGGACAAAATGCTCATAGTGCTCGGGAAGCCAGTAATGTGTATGCCCGCCATGCAAGAGAATTCCATGAACAATAAATGGTGAAAGTCCATGTTTAGTGTGTACATTTGAGAAATATTTAGGTTTCATGATAAATGCTGGTTGACTCCCTTAATATTGACATTTGATTTGTTTTCAAATTGAAATTCCCAAATCTATATATATATCCGTCTTTCATCAATCAGACTGTCTAAAAGCATTAGAAACAAACTCTTAAGAGGGATAAATAACTTTCTATCTTTTTCGTACATAGTTTAAACATGAATTCGGCTAACAATATTTTGTTAAGGTTTCTTGCACTTATAATAAAATATATCAACCAAGGCCATTTCGCCGTTATCGCTTAACCTAACATTGATAAATCTTTGATTATCTCAGTAGGCTTGTGTTTCTATTTGACGTAATCATACACTGACGTTTATCAAAATCCTATTAAGTCTCACATCTATATGTATAAATAACAAGTTTTACTACAGATCGATTTCGTCTGCTATCAAACCCATCTTTGTCGTGATGAGTCCCAATAAGGTGAAACACGTCTCAGTTGACTGATAAACAACCTCGTTTGCCGATACAGCCTACTTGATATCATCGACAAGGGACTATCTATCCTAGAATGAAGGGAAGGCTTAACGTAAAGGCTGACGAGGAACACCTTGTATAAGCTCAAACAGTCTATGACGGATGAACTTATGTATGGTACTGTTGATATACACATGTAACACCCAATGAATAACACAAACACATGGACAATACATATTTCAATAAGAATTAAAAAAAGCACCACATTTGAAAAAGACAGCTTGAAACGAAGCTGTCAGTGTCTCATCATTCTTACCTTCGGGCATGGTTTCAACTGTAAAAGAATGTGTTAATAGCAGAAGGTGAATTGGAGATCTGTAAATATGTAGCCGAGAAAAACATAGTTTTCTTATGAGCCTTGATTTGATGTATCAACAGAATCTTGACACAACAGCCGGTTTTCCTTTTCTTGTGTGGATTTGGAATCAAGATCAGGGTTAATGTATTAGGAGAAAGTCAGCTTCGGTTACAGTAAGGGGCTTCACAAGCAGCACAATCGAACCAGGGTCTTCAGCGTAACGAGCGAATGCTGTATCCACTTGCCTAACCCACCGGCCCTTTGTTTTGTGAAGGATTGGTAGTATTGAAATAAGGTGTGTACAGTATGATACCATAAAGAATCTACTTGAATTATCCAACACCATCAGTGGGATATGCATTATGCCATTTTTAGCGTCCAGTGACTTTGTTAACACAGAGTCGTTTAAATGCTACGAGAAAAGGCTGTCTAGTGGTTAAAGCGTTCGCTCGTCACGCCGAAGATCCGCGTTTAGTTCTCACCTTGGTAAGTCCTTTTCTGGTAACATTGCCGTGATGTTGCATTAGTATTGCCAGATACGACGTCAAATAATAATCACTCCCTCACTCACTTAACTACTTTGACATACACATTTATGACAGAGACGATCAGTTTTCAGTATCGGTGAATGCACCATTAACATAACTGTTAAAGAGGCTCGTTACGCCGAAGACCTGGGTTCAATTCCCCACTGAGAAAAAAATCGTGAAGCCAATTTACGGTATATCTCACCGTAATATTGCCAAAGCGGCGTAAAGGCATAGTCACTCATTCTTAACGATTGTCAATGAACATGATAAATTTATATATATGTGAGTATATAGAATCACCATTTCCAGTTGGCAGTACGGATCTGTTGTTTTCTCAAAATAGTCCATGCAAATATAATCGGTTTCAAACTTAGTATCTAATGTCCGTACACCAATTACGTAACAACACAGGCCCTTCCCAAAACTAACGTAACAACGTAACATCTAAAGTCAAAAAGAAGACATAGGACCACACTATAGCATCTGCATACATATGACAAAGGATCATGCTATCAAATTAGCAGAACGTTGTGCTTGTGCTTCAAAAGAATTAGTACACACACACATTGTTGAAAAATACATACACACAAAAATGTACAATGTTATCTTTGCAAATCCTGCATGGATACAAAATGTAGGAATTCTTGAACGAAGACTTGACGTCGAGTGAAAAAATTTCATTGTAATAAGGTAAAAACATCATGATGGTTAACACCTAGTTGTCTTTCAGATCAATACTGATGTGAAAATCAAAATTTAATGCATTTCTTAAATATCATTTTAATTATCTGGTGGATTTATACTGACGGAAACAAATAAAGAGGATGTGTTGAAGTTGCATTTGTACATACATATTTCATATGATCACATGTGATCCAAAGGCACAGAGGTAACTTATGAATATGTATATGATAGGTTTCCAATATCTAGTCATCATCAGTCAATCTCATGTCATTGTCAACCATTGTCAACCAATCTCGACTTCCAGTTATACTGAAGCAAGTTTCGATCATCTTCAAACATGTTTTGATCATGTCAAACAAGGTTGGATCATCGTCATCGTGAACAGTCTTCGGACACCTTCAAACAATCTCTAAACATCGTCAACAGTCTTTGGACACCATCAAACCATCTCCAAACATCGTCAACAGTCTTTGGAAACCATCAAACAATTCTCCATGAATGCTCGGCAATCATCAAACAATCCTCCAGTCATCGTCAACATTCACTGGTAACCATCATGCATATTCTCCAGTCATCGTCATGAATGCTCGACAATCATCAAACAATCTCCAGCCTTCGTCCTCATTTTTCAGCCATTATCAAACAATCTCCAGTGATCGTCAAACAATACCTGGCCATATTCATGTCACAATCGGATGTCAAGCCTACCAAATGTTTCCTCGTATGCGACTACTTATTTCTTCCCGTCAGTATAGCTCTAAAGCACCAGGAGCGAAAGGATAATTTCAACAAACTTTCATTTGTTTCACAATTTGATTTTATCATCTTAACTGTAATTACTAATTTACAGAAATACAAAAATCGTATTTTCAAAGGCCGAATCTATATTTTGTAAAATTCCGAAGAAGAAAACAATCAGGTCGAACCACAGAGAGGTTGGATGGATCCCAACTCTGTATCCAAGTTCATGACAGTAGAACTAAGCATCTGACATAGCTCCTCTAAATCTTTACCTTTATTGAAGGGTCTGTCAGTCTTCAGGTGACACTTGCTGCCTTCATAACCAGGCGGGCACTCACATGTATTCACCAGAGAACCGTAGAAGTATCTGCAGGAGAAACACATGAGTATAAAATATATCCATCCCGTGTATCTCTCAAACATGCTCTGAAATAGAAAGACACAATTCCCATGCACATTTATATTCCTTGGCACGTATAAATTCGTAGAGCTGTTTCTATTTACCTCTCATATTTCATCCATTATTTTCCCTTTCAAATAACAATTTAATATAACGCAATACGAAAATTGTGTTAAAATCGTAAAGTTTCAAGAGTGACTGAACCTTATGTTAAATTTCATGTACCTAATCATTAATACTTTCCAAAAATGTATTCACTCAAGGTAACGAAATCTGATTTAAGGTATAACCGTTTGTAACGAATCTAATTTTTTTAATAAACTGCAGATGTTATTAAGTTGACAAGCCCGCGAAAGATCGCGTAAGACGAACAGTTCATTCTCGATGAGTGGTTACAGTTGATATTGTACGTTGAATGGTTTATCTCTCATATGACAAATTTATTTCACTTCCAAGTTCAATATAAATGGAGTTGTTTTTTATATCTTTTAAAAAAAATCCGTTTGAAGTTGCATGTACAGACAGAAGAGTGGCATGTGTTGACAGTTACATCATCAAGTTAGTACAAAATTGTATAGTTACACATATGAGGGTGTACATATACATGTATTGATAAATAGGAGCTACAGTTATAACTGTAGTAAATACATTAGTTTGAGTAAGTCAAATTGCATATGTGCTAAAATAAAATGTCAGAGTACGGTATCTAAGAGATGCCATTTCCTAGTAAAACAACCAAATTTATCATTTGTCATTGAAATACACCATATTTCCTTAAGCAACATGAGAAATCCTGCAAAGGATATATCTTGCTGTTTAAGGCTTGAAGTATTGATTAATACATGGAGTTGACACAGGCATCATTTTCAATGAACTGAAAAAATGATGAATTGTTGTCCTTGAGCTAATATAATTGAATGTACCTGCATTTAGGTTAACCTATTGACATGTACTTGTTATACAATAATAATACAATAGAGTGAGTGAGTGTAGTTTTATGCCGCACTCCGGAATTAGTTATCCCTAAAGATGCTGTACACTGATTTATCTTATGGCCGTGCAAAGGTCTACAGATTTCCAGGAAAACATTTTATAGCCTTGTCAGTCACCGTCTTCAATTTGAGGGTGAATGAATGAGTGAGTCAGCAATATTCCAGCTATATGGCGGCGGTCTGTAAATAATCAAGTCTAGACCAGACAATCCAGGAATCAACAGCATGAACATCGATCTACGCAACTGGGATACGATGACATGTGTCAGCCAAGTCAGCAAGTCTGACCACACAATCCCGTTAGTCGCCTTTTACGACAAGCATAGGTTACTGAAGACCAATTCTAACCCGGACTTTCAAGGGTCTAATACAATAGAAATACAATGCCCGGGAAGTCGTTATCAACACATCTGTCTTATACCACCACATTGCTTAGTTAAACTCTCGACCTGCTCATGCGAATTCGAAATAACGATCCCGGAGGCAAATATGAACATCCAAGGTCAAGGTCTGGGAATACCCGGTCACGGTTATTCCGCGAAACAGATTCTATTGTCCATAAAAGGAAAATTAATGATGAAATTTATAGAAATGAATAACTACAAATCAGTAGTAACACAAGGTGTTTACAGTAAGCATTTCCTACTCTACCGGTACAAAGCTATAAAATGCTATATTTGGGTATAATTGTCTCAAGTACCGTTACCTGACTAATCAATTAGACATGTCTCATTTCGGACAACATAAACGTATGCAATCAAGGGGGAGTTTGGTAAACAATCCCAGACATAACGGTATATTGATAAATAAGTGCTCCCAGGTCTACACATCAAATAACTGCAGGCCCTAATTGGGCTGGTCCACGCCATGCGATATTAGGCTTTGATGGTAGGCCCAGACATACTTCTCTTGGGATTAATAAAGGCACAATAATCAACGCAGTTCAGCATTAGTACTGGAGCAGAACTTAAGTGATGACATATTGATCAAGATACGTGCCATTAAATGTTTGGGTAGGGTTCATTTAGATGGGATACCAAATATGTGATCACAACTTTTAATCGCTTCCCACAATTCTGAAAGTACGCGTGTGATTAACAAGCCTGAAAAATAACATCAAGTTCGACCCTTTCTACTAAAATATAAACCTGACAACATACAAAAGTGATTGGAAAAGAAACGCTGTTGAGATGCTGTTATCCAATTTCCCTTCCTGGATCATTCTGGGTTTTTAATTTTCACGGACAGTTAACGTAATCTCTTTGGAATTCTCCGATCATAGAATGCAAAGTGCCTGAAAGATTGCCTGGGTGATTATGAGTACGCACTCGCTGTTCATACGTATTTAAACAGATGTTTTGAAAGCAATCATATTTTGCTACATAGCATTTACAATATCTTAATTAACACATTGAGACACAAATACGTTGAAAATCTCAGAGAAAGTATGTTTTTAGGAGCTGAAACAAAGATAGTGTAATATAAATGGCGGCCATCTTGGAATTTTGAGTGGCTAAAGTTCTTTTTTCAGTAAGTGTCCCAAAGTGACCATGTATGCAAATTGTGTTGCTTGTATCACAAAGTGAACGATTTTTCCATTATCTGCCCTACTACTAGAAAAGTTAGCAGTTCTGGCACATATCGTATTCGTGTCAATCCAAGAACCACTTTGTTTGCTTTTTGTAGATCAGTGGAACAGTTAATTATTACTCAAGTTACACGGCATATTTCTTGCCTTCACATGTGGTACAATTTAAAGTTCAAAATCACAGTTCTCAGTTCTTGAGGCAAATTTATTTCCAATTTGCATGCAGCTAATGGAACAGATCTGGTTATGCTACAGCGTTTTTCATACACTTTGCGTATTTGCTGATGACAAATCAAGAATGTTGTATTGAAACTACTGGAACAAATCCTATCCACTTTAAGTTTAACAAATCTTGCTCACTTTGAATTAAGTCTTCATGAAGTGACATGTTATAATTATGTCTATTTTGAGTATGATGCTGCAAATTTCCGTCTTGCAGCACACTTTCATTTATGTAATTTGAGTACGGTAGGACAGGACATCACAGGTGCCAAGATTGATATCCATTCTCTTTGATCAAGTCATATATTTTTCATTTTAAACTCTTATGCACAATAGAATCTGTTTCGGCAATTAATCAAGTTATCATCTGATGTTGACGTTTAATACTGTAACTGAGTGAGTGAGTATGGTTTTATGCAATATTTAGCAACTTTTAGCAATATTCCAGCGGGGTGCACCAGAAATGGGCTTCACACACTGCACCTATGTGGGGAATCGAACCCATGTCTTCAGCGAGACGAGCGGACGCTTTAACCACTAGGCTACCCCACCGTCCTTATATTATATTGAATGCAAGAGATGTACCGTTTGTATGGAACTGACGGATATAACGAACTATTTTGGGGTCCCCGGCCACTTGTATATTTTAGTCGAACGGCCAATAACAAACTACGGTTATAATGAATTGAAATTATTAAAATTAAAAATTAAAATTAGTACCCGTTAGCCTATCCTTCAAAAGGGCCTATTGGTTAAAGCGTTCGCCCGTCACGCTGAAGACCCAGGTTCGATTCCCCACATGGGTGAAAGGGGTGAAGCCCATTTCTGGTGTCCCCCGCCGTGATATTGCTGGAATATTGCTAAAAGCGGCGTAAAACCATACTCACTCACTTACTTCTTCAAAGTAGCATGACTTCATTCGTTTCCATTTTCACACGTACGCTCGCGTCACAATCACAGTTCATCTACTAATCATTATTTACAATTAAAGGATCTCTTTAACTGTTGGAAGTTCAGACTCGGTCACACTGCTGATGTCGTCGACTAATCGCTGGCGCAGCGTTCGAAATAATCGCCGGCCCGGAGGCCCAGCGTCGGTTGTTATTGTATCGGGCCGGCAGTTTCAAATATCTGCCCTTGTGGCCTTTCTTTAAATTATTTCTTTCCCTTGTTTTTCCCTTGTTTTTCCCTTGTTTTTTCTTCTTTATCAACGGTCTGGAATCATCCATGATCCACCATGTTACGATAACTTACAGTTTCACTTCCTGGTATTTCAACGTTTAGCGCATAGGAATGTCAACACCAGTCTTTAACAAATAAAAACGTCTCTCTGTGCCATAGGCTTCGCTAATTGATTTTGTAGAAACAGTGTGAGACTTTGTAAAGTGTAGTCTATTTTGTTTTTATTGGTTTGACTTTAACAAAATGGGCCTGCAGATTTCATTCAGGGCCTGTAGATATTAAAGCCTGCAGGTGCCAGGAGGCCCTGATGGCCAACTAGCAAATTAAAGTATTGCAAATTATTGCTCATGATATCAGTCACTGCATTGCCTGGTTCAGATTGTAGGCTGAGGCACCAAACTACTAACAATTATGCAAATTGCAAGTGGCGGATGCTACCGGGAAAGCAGGACATGCTTTCGCCAACACCTGGTGTCATCGCTGACATTCAGTGAGTCATATTTCATCACCTTGTCATGTTGGCCCCAGGGAATATATTTGATGGTTTGATAGATGCTCGTGGCTGATTATTCCCGTTGCCAGCTCAGTAAGCAGTTAATACTTGTAATGATCATATGCTCAGTTTATTGGTGTCATGGAGGTCGGCGACCGTATGGATCATTCGTGTGATGTATGTATGTATGTATGTATGTATGTATGTATGTATGTATGTATGTATGTATGTATGTATGTATGTATGTATGTATGTATGTATGTATGTATGTATGTATGTATGTATGTATGTATGTATGTATGTATGTATGTATGTATGTATGTATGTATGTATGTATGTATGTATGTACGTACTTACCAGTGTGTGTACACAAGGATATATAATCTTTAGGGCTCTAGATTATGCATAAACACAACACTGGCTTGGAATATATGTGTTTAGTTGTGACAGATCAGTGACACAGGTTAATCTGTCTATGACTGGTAGCTTAGTTTCTTAATCTCCAGAGTGGCATTTCAGGTATGACTTGTAAATAAATGCCTTGATAATTGCTGACGTATGGAAACCGCATAAACGATTCGTGTGTTAACGAAAAACCTTACAAACACAAACCTAAAATGTCTTAAAAGGCATGTTTGTTTACCTTCTGATTATTGCCGCACTCAATAATAGTTTAGTTGATTTTTGGAGTAAGGTTTAACACTGTGCGTGGGCTGAACAGTACAGGACTGACGTTAACATGTCAGCCAGCGTTCTAACAGCGTATGAAGTACACTATGACTGGATAGGTAAATAACACGGAACGGAACAGTAAAAGGAATTTTATGGTCACATCGGCAGTGCTTCATATTTGGTAGGGCTGCGCAATGTAACCGGTTTACCGGTATTTACCGGTTCAGACATGAAAACGATACGCATTGCGATACGCTGATCGAAAACCGGTATTTTGACTTGCATTCGGAAAACTTCGTAACAATCGGAAATCTTCGGATATTTCCTTTTTTCATTTGATGCCAAATATTATTTATATTTTTATTTTGTCTTGATTAAATTTTTTTATTGAAGCTAAATCAAGCATAGTTCTTTTGTTGTGTTTTTGCTTTATAAATCAAGCATTAACTCGATTATAAGTATTTTTTTGTTTAAAAATACTTCTTGCAATATAATGCAATACATATCGCAATATATGCTTCACATCGCAATACCCACCCCTAATATTTGGGAGAATTCAGGTTTCAACAAAGGAGTTATGCGTTTTCATTATATTTGCAAAGAAAACACTTAGAATCAATAAACCCTGGTAAGCATATTATCTAGTTGACAAATGCTAAGAATATGTTATTGTGTTTATTTTTTTTAACGCCGCACTCAGCAATATTTCAGCTGTATGACGGCGGTATGAATACACTGTGCTTTTAACAAATATTTCATAAATGTTTGGTTGGTGTATGCTGGCATGATATGGATCGTAGCCTGTGGTTATTGAAACAGTTACAATGTGAGGCAACATGCTGTTCATTCGATAGCCTTATGGTTAAAGCTTTCGCTCGTCACGCTGAAGACCCGGGTTCGATTCCCCACATGTACAGTGTGTGAAGCCCATTTCTGGTGTTCCCCGTCCTGATATTGCTGGAATATTGCTAAAGCGACGAAATACTTCTTTCACACTCATTTACTGGTTATAGCGTTAGCTCGTCATGGAGATTCCCATATTTTGTTAAAAGCGGCGAAAAACCACATTCAACCACTCCTCAACTTTAACAAAACTAAGTAATATGTTATATTAACAGAAACTGACCCTGCATGTAGCAAGCAGTTGAGCATCATTTGCATAGTACTTGCAAAGGTATAAAAACATTGCTTTCATAATGGGGCACAGTCCCCTATTAAGTGCATATCTCACAAATACTTTCAATATACATGTATACTCAACAAAAGTTGCAACAATATGTTGGAACATAAGTTGAAGAGGTACCTGGTGCATGAGTTTAGTGATGTCAGTTTAACGTTTGTAATTTTATATGCACACTCATTCATGATTATATACATATACTCCACTACACGATCACAGTTAATCAAAAGAGGCATCGAGTCCCCCAGTCAGTCAAGTTACGACCAGCACAGGGC